GGGGGAGGAGACAGAGAGAGAAAAGAGAGAGAGAGAAGAGAGAGAGAGACCGAGAGAGGGAAAATAAAAAGAGAAAGGGGGGAGAGGAAGGGAGTAATTACAGAGAGTGAGAGAGAGGGGGAGGGGGGAGAGAGAGGGGGAAAGAAGGGAGGGAGTGGGAGAGAGAAAACATACATAGTTATTCTCTGGAACAAAATGTTCCCTTGTTTTAAAGCTTTCAAAACACAAAGAGCCTGCTTCTGCACAGCTTTAAGTGCGACAACCGTTAAGCTTCTGTGTCATTCTCACTTTATCCCGCGTGGCTGGTCATGATTGTTCCCTTACAGGGATGAACGTGCGGCTAAAATGGGGACAGACAGACACGCACACAGACAGACAGACAGTAAAATAAAAAGTGGGCTGTTCTACTAGAGGAGAGTGCACAGTTCTGAAGGAGATTGTTGAGGAGCACACAGAGAATGCGCCATGGAGGAGAGGAAAGAGAGACGGGTGAAGAGTTGAGCCCTCAACAGGTTGTAGCTGTCCAGACCAGCCAGGGGAGACAATCTACTCCCGGGGCTGGGGGCACGGCGGGGCGGTACTGCATTATCTGCCCCTGGCCGATGGGTGACTTCCGGCGAGAAGGGTTCTCACGCACGCGATCGATACGGGGGAACGGGGACAAGAAGACGTCATCTCCACCCGGCCTGGCTCATTTGCATATCTGTGTCCTGCTTTGTGGAAGATGAGAACTTCACAGGCTGGCGGCGCTCCAGGACGTATGCGGGAGGGGGAGGGAGGGGTGACCCCAGGATGAGGGAGGGAGGGGAGGGAGGGAGTGGTCCCGGGATGAGGGAGGGAGGCGTTAAATTGGTGGAGAGGTTGGGGTGCCAGAGCTGAAGTGTGTTAGAAGGATAATAGTGGTCCGAGTAGGGGAAATATAGAAGGATGGAGAGGGATGGTGGTGGGGGTACACCCATTCATTACTGGAGACGAAAGGGGGTTACTAGCAAGGGCAGACAATTTTATGCTCGATGACGCATGACTTGGGTGATGTCGAGCTTACTTGCCTCGGTAAGAGGAAGGAGATTCATTCTTTTGACAAAAGTACTGCTCGCCCAAACTACAGCACATATTCACCCCCCCCC